TGTGGGATGAACCTGTCCCTGAGTCTGGTGGTTTTAGTCCTGATACTGGAGAGAACTTTGGGATTTTCGGCTTTGCACAACATTTAAAGGTCCCATGTCCCTTTTTTAAGTCAAAAACAAACTCTACCAAAACAGATTTTGGTCAGCAAACACAAACATTCAGAGAGTCTGCATTGTGGCTTGAGTCCTGCTGCATGCTTGGAAATTCTAGGTCGGAAAAATGAGTGAGAAATGCTTTCCCTTTCTGTATTACGAGGTGAACTAGTGCAGACTGATTGAGTACAGCTGCTCCAGACCCAACTGCAGTCCTTATGAGAGAGCCTCTCCTCAGCAGCCAACATCACTTTATTTCCCCGCTTTACTCAGCATTCATTTCACTATTTAGTTTCACACTCACTGTTTGTGTTTCTGTGCTTGAAAACTTCATGCATGAGTAATGAAACCAACTCTGACCTTTTGCAGTATGTACACAAGCACAAGCTCTCGTTGTCTACATATTTGTAGATCTGCTCTGACCGTTAGTTACGTCACAGATCTGGTTCCTACACACACACACGCACACACACACACACACACACACACACACACACATACACACACACACACACACACACGGGCACGAGACATGATTATCATCTCTTTAACTTCCGAAACGACACAAAACCCGCTAGCCATGCAAGGTCATGACGACACGCAGCCACATATTCTCTATTTGTTCCCTTGCGAGCTTTCACACACACTTCTAAACACACACCGCCTCCCCACAGTGAGGGATTAAGCCCTGTGCTAATCAGTTCTGTGATTTCTGTCAGCAGAGCTTGTTTGGGTTCAGGAAGATTAGGTCTTCAAAGCTTTGCCAAAAGACATTATAGCTATTTTCCATATTTCTGTCCATTTTTGTTGTCTTCTGTAACACAATGTTGCTGTATGCTAGCTAGAACACAGGATGATGGCATGTATTTCAAAGTGTCTGTCCTTTTTCCCTGTTATGTGATTTTGTGACATCTCTATCTGGAAAGAAAGCTATTTGATAATTTTGAGGATCACTTGTTTCTAAGTCTGGCAGAGTTTTAGATGCTTTTAGCATAATTTAGGTTTGTGTTCAGCATGTATACTTTTGGTTTAATGTTGTCGCTAACTTGTATCATTGGCGTTTGGATATATTTTGGTCATGTTCTCAAATAAGCAATTAAAGTAACTATAGGCAAATGTCCTTAAGCTTCTTAATTTTTTTATAGAAAAATAATTGCCAAAACAATAATGAAAATAATCTTGTTTTTCTTCCCTAAAGCTGTGTATTGATAAATGAATGTTCTTAACCTAAGTTAACAGGGGATAATACATGGTTAAAGACTAAATTAAAATGTAGTCAGAAGCCAACCAAGAGCATTAGTATACTGTACAATGGACTGTATAAAGAGAGCTGCTTATTCAACTAATTGATGACTTGATTGACAAACGCCCAATCAGCAACTTAAGCAAAACTTTAAAAAAAAAAAAAAGTCAGTTTTCAGCCTGTTTAATTATGGAGAGTTCCTGTTTACCTATGTTTCTTATATAAAATTCAACTTGAGATTTTAGACTGACAAAGACATTTACACGTTTTTATTTTTGAGAAAACTGGGATGGACATTTTCTAATTTTTTGACATTTTCTAGACCAACCAATAATTAAAAAAGAGAATTGCCAGTTTAGTAATTATTACGTAATCAGTAGTTGCAGCAATGCCTGAAACAAATCTTCAATCAGGCCTTTCTGTTTGCTCACAGTTTTGCATTCAACATGCTGTTTTCCATTATCTCTAAATGTGCTCTCTTCTCTTCCTGTCTTTTTTTTTTGTTGTTTTTTTTTAGAGATGCTTGTCTACAGCCAGCTTCCAGCTCTGGAGGATTTTTGTCTTGTTGTCTGCCATGTCTGCGATCAGGTGGTCACCCCCCAGGGCATCCTCACACACTACGGTAAGACACGCACGCACACACACACACACACACACACACACACACACACACACACACACACACACACACACACACACACAGTACATATACACCCAATCACACACACACAGCAGACAGAAGCCCACATGCTCTATGAAGATGAAAGAGAAATAAAATGAAGGAGAAATTAATTGATTTGTTTCCAAACATGTATTTTTCCTCACACATTCACAACATACTGAAAACAGTTCTAAAATAAGTATACATTTCCTACAAAGATAGGAGAAAGGAGGCTCTGGGAGGAGAAGTGTGTAGATTAGACTTTTTCCATTCTATTTCTTACATTACCTGTTTCATATACTATGGCAAAACCAATGCAATAAGTACGTCCAGTCCTTTTAAACGTGCCTTATTAGAATTACTCCTTTTCTTATGCTTTAGTAAGCAGATACATGCACAGACAATGACCAAACATGTTGATATTTGAAATGTTAGAGCAGCATTATGACTTGTTAGAGAGGTTTCCTTACATCTCAGGTCCCATTTTAGGACAATGGCGGACATGGCTTTATTAAATACTGGTACAGGTACTTTGAACTGTTTGTACAAATCCAACTACAATTAATTCAAGTTTATTTATATAGCCCAAAATCACACATCCTATTTGTCTCAGAGGGCTTCACACGTCAACAAACACAATTGGCAATGTAAAACATTGTATTTATAATTTACAATAATTTATTGTTTAACATCTTCTACAATAATGATAATGTGATGCAGGTTTTCAGGGTAAAAGAAAGGTTGTCTGTGGAGCACTAAGAAGCATTACTCCATATATTACCTTATCAGAAATGTACCCTAATGGTAATATATGTCCATATTGGCTTTTAAATTGAGCCATGCATTTGCATCAGTGTGAATTGTGACGTTTTAGTATTTAGTATTTTTATAGATTTGATTGATTAGGTTACATTAGATAACATTTAAATATTTTTTGAGATTGAAAGCAATTTGTGTACAGTAAATGGAAAATGGCTCTCAAGTATTCATTCATTCATTCATTCATTCATAGGCTCTCTCACTGTTGGGTCAGGCGCCCTCTAGTGGTGGGATAGTGGTTATTGAAATGTCTGGACAAACATAACTAGGATTATTAATTTGCTAACTATATTGGCTTGTTATGAATTACACTGATGAGGTGAATCCATATGAAAGTGTCACCGATTTTCCTCAGTAACGTATAAGACATGTCCACAATAGCAGGAAAACTTGCATTCTCATGGTACTTGTTATGCGAGAGTGTAAATCCGTAGAGAATACTTGATTGAGATTTTGACAACCTTGATTTATTAAGACTAAACTAAGGTACCAAATGAAGGTTAAACACTTTCTTGATTGTTGTTTTTAATGTCCTTTTTTAATTATTTTTCATCACTTTTTGCATCAATAGCTCGGTCAAAGCAACATGTTTCCTCCTGTTTAAGTTTAGGGTGTTTTATAAAATGTCACTTTTTTTCGTCTTATTTTTAGCATATTTAGATGATTATTTGAAGGAATATGAAGTTCTGATTTTCTTTTTATGATGTTTTATCTTTTGATATGGTGATACATAATGTAAATGTGATGATGTATATTCATTTAACTCTGTGTGTGGTGTACTGGTTATGCCTCTGCATTCTTATAATCATCATCCAACTAGCTATAGCTTCGTCAATGATTCCTGTGCATTCAACCTGCCAAACTGAGACACGCTGTGACATGCACAATTTCTATGTACCTTTGTTTTTTATTAATAAAAATGAATGATTTGTTTTCAGAAGTCTCTAAAGTGAACGTCCTGTCCATCTAAAATGTGTGTGTTTGGATGTAGACACTTTACACTCCAGTGCGTGTGTTTGTCTATCCTCTTCCTGTCATACCTCAAGATGGAAGCCAGTTAATTTAAAAATAATTTAGCTTAATCACTCATTCACATTTGCCTCTAGCCGTGTGTGAAATATATGATTTTATGGTGCCAAATATATAATTTTGTCCAGATTCAACTGCTCATATAAGATACAATGTAAATATAAAGTGATATCTTTAAAAATAAGAACTATTTAGAAGGTTGAATAATAAAAGTGAGAGCATTTGAGGACATCTTTTTGACAAACATCCATTCTTTTGACTCTTAAAGAGATAGAAAATATATGCTTCCTGTTGTGTCATGTGACCTCATGATCACTGTGCGGGAAACAAACACAACTCTGAGTCAGAGTCATCGTTTGTGTGTGTGAGAGAAAGAGAAAGAAGAGAGAAAAGGGAAGTGCACTGTTGTGTGTGGGTGTGACAGAGGAAAAGACAGGAAGGGTTTAACCACAGATTAACATATAAAGTGTGTGTGGACTGTGTGTGTGTTGATTTGACATGATTTGAAACGACAGTAAACATTAATCAAAGTAATTTCCGTGCTCTGGTTTAACACTGTCATTTCCTCTTTATCTCCACCCTGCTCTGTCTAATATCATGGGATGTAAGCATCGTGCAACAGACCTAAAGATCTGTTTATCCGTTGAACAAAAGTCAGATAAGTTTGTTCGGTATAATCTTAATAGCAGAAATATTATGATCTATTGACATGTTTCCTGTAAAAAAAAAACGAAACCATGCACTTCCTCTTCTGACTTTGCACTTTAAACGCCGATTCTGTTTTCAGCCACAAGAGGTCCACGTAGCGCTGTTAGCTTGACCTACTGAGCCACTTTGAGAAGCTAAGCATCCTGGGACAGTTTGTTTCAGTGACCTCGGATTAAGGCCTGTTTTAAATTCACATATAAATGCAAAATGTGATGTGTTGTCTCCTTTGCAACTCCCTGGCAATCACTAATAGTACTGTACTGTTTAGACTCAAAGCAGGGCCCAATATTCATATACTTCTTTGGTCTAATAAAATAAAATACACTTTTCGGGGTATACAATGTTAAATGACCCTATTTTTATCGTAAAGTCCCTTAATTGGTCCACTAAATACTGCATATGCAAGTTCATTCTCTTTGGTATTCTACTTCAAATTGTGTTAATGCATTGGAATAACTGATGGAATAACATTTCAATATAATTAGGTCTTACATGATTAAATGTGACACATACAATGAATTGAATGATTGGATTGATTGACGTAAACATGTTGTTATTATCCAGAAAAAGCCAGATGGATATGTTTAGCCCTATTTTATGCTTTATTCCTTGTCCTTGTTATTGACAGGTCAACCTATGCCTATTGAATTACTGACACACTCACACAACAACACAGACTAAGAAACCACTGTTGTTTAATAACACTTGTTTGCAATAATGTAAATTAGACAACAAAATATTACGAATGTTAATTGTAAATTGGAATAACTTTTCTATTTTTCAAATATTATGTGCATGCCCTTAGGCAGTGGTGTAATGGGGATTTTTTTACTGGGTGGACGTGGGCGGGAGACACTATGGACGCGCTCGTGAACTGTCAACGGGGGGGTACACTGTGTGTGGACCTCTGTGTCGCCTGTCAGCGCAACTTACATGATGCCGTTTAGACAATATAATAATAAAGGGCGGTGCCAACCGTCAGCGAACCGATCCAGCCTTTCTGCGCGACTGTCACTCAAATGCTGGACATGGTCTCAATTTGTGGAACGCGGGACACATAATAAAAATACACACACACACACACACACACACACACACACACACACACACACACACACACACACACACACACACACACACACACACGCTTCAAATCCAGTTGCATAAATGCTTGAGCTTTTTATTATAATTACTGTGAAATCTGCCTATTATGTTTTCGTCATTATTACAAAAAATACACACTTGCAACGGATGACACTGGCAATGATTTTATATTTATTAGACTTTAAAAAAAAAAAAAATCATGCTTCAAATAAGTGGGGGTACGGCGTGGCGTACCCCCTCGTCCAACGCCCACTACACAACTGCCCTTAGGCTAATAGTGTTTTATTTTGTGTCTCTATCTTCACTTAGCTGTAACAATGTATGTATGCCCTATGTGGGACGAATAAAGGAATTCTGGTAGTTTTTGTCCTTTGGTATATTACCAATGATGTTCCAATAAAAAAGATAATGTTTTCTCAACTCAACATAATGTCACCTTGTAACTGTCCAACAGAGGGAAATCTGTAATGTGCCCACAGTCTGAACTTTTGAACCCCTATAGCTCCCTGCCTGTCCTCAACCTCTCAATCCTCCGGAAGTTGCCGAATAAGCACGACGTACACCGAGCATGACGTCACTATATCTGGTTCTTTCGTTTCGAGCCTGCTGCGTGCGAAGGAGAGAGAGAGAGAGAGAGAGAGAGAGAGAGAAAGCGAGAGAGCGAGAGAGCGAGAAAAAACGGCTCTCAGCAAAGCAACAAGAAGGAAGAGAAATGGCGACACTGGATCGCCAAATACCAAGTCCGGATAGCTTCCTGTGCGAGCCTTGGTCTTCCTTCGTCACCGCGGCTAAATTACGTTTTGTTGACAGTAAGTTTGCACGTCGGCAGCCCTTGTTGTTTTTGCGGACAAACTGTGGTGAAGTGCGTGGTCCAACAACTGTCTGTGATTGAGTAGAGTCTGCAAAGTAACTGTCAAAAAATACTATTATGAAATACCATATTAATATGTCGCTTGAACAGTCGAGAGATAAGCCTTACGGTGCATAGTTCGTAGCACTGGTGTGTGCAGTAATGACATTTCTCAACTGTGCAGGATGTAAGTTTGTTAGCTTTGACAGCTTCACTCATTTGGCTTCACTTTCAATAGGAAGCCAGCTCCAGTGCTAGCTAGCTAATAATGCTAACTGGTAGTCAGGCTCGGACCAGCATGGCTCCACTACGCATGGCCCAAAAGTTTGTTGTCAAAGGTGGGAAGTAACTAAGTACATGTACTTAAGTACAATTTTGAGGTACTTTTAATTTACTTGAGTACTTCCATGTTATGCTACTTTGTCCTACAATTCAGAGGTAAATTATTAATACCTTTTAGTTACTTTGCAGATTTGGATTAATAATGTGAAATATAATCAACTCTTAAATCAGACTTTAGTTCCACCTGGAGTAAACTCACAAGCTACCCTGCAGTACAAAGTCATTCAAACGAGCTGCACCTTTACCAGCTTTGATAACACTTTAATGATCAATCATTATAAAACTTTTTTTTTTTTTATTGTCATATGCACAAAGCTACAGTGTAGAAATGGCAATGAAATTCTTCTGACCTGAGCTCCTCCAACAATGCAACATATATAATAAAATAAAAAGTAGTGCAAAAAGTCTATATACATGTCAATAGAATATGAAATGAAATAATGTAAATTAAGACTAAATTAAATACGGTTTATTGCGGTGATAACTATTTATATAAATTAGTATATTGCAATATGACAACAATATCATATATTATTCTGAGATGGACCAATCTGCACAAGAGTACTTTTAGTTATTTTAATGCTAATACTTTTGGACTTTCACTTGTCCTACTACACCATTGTACTTCCAGATCGGAGTACTTCTTCCACCTCTGTTGTCAATGCTCACCTGCTGGTTTGTAAAGTGCCTTTTGTGTTTTCTTCTGACGCAGACTCGTCCTCGGATGACAAACAGATTTACTGCCAGGGTAAAGCCGTGAGGCTCAGCAAAGAAGGTAAGGAAGTGAGAAAACACACTAATGCTGTCACTGTCAACACCATGATGCTCTGTTATTGTTTTGTTCTCTGCAGCCAGAGGTGTCATTTTCTCTGGGGACACAGGGACAACACTTCCTGACATGGCTGATAACGTTCAAATAACTATTTCAAAGCATACTCTGTAAAGAAATGCTCTGAAAAGTAGCTTGCACCAAGAAATAAACCAAGAAATAAAATATATTAAATGCTATCTAAGTATAGAATAATTAAATGGGCATTGTCATTAGCTAAAAACAAACAAGCCCCTTGCTTACTTATTACAAAATGATGAAATAACATGCATGCACTAACTTCAAAAACATCTTGACATGGATTCTTGTTTTTTCCCAATCTTGGAAATGATCCATTCTAACCTCAAATTAAATTCTGTTAAACCTCCTCTCACAAAAACATAATGACTGCGCCTCATACATACTTTTAAATGCATGTGTCTAATTGGGAAACACATTACTGGCTGGGAGTGTGTTTGAATTAGAAAACGGTATTACAGTGATCACCGTGTGTCTAATTATTAATTTCTACATGAATCTACATTTTGCCCATTAAAATTCAGCATCATAATTTCCCATAGCCTAAGGTGATGCATTCAGATTGCTTGTTCAGTTTTATTGTAAAAGAGTGCGAGGAAAAGCATCAGACCCCCCCCCCCCCTTTAGGAAAGCTGAAAACCAAAGATTGTTCCAAAATGTACGTTTCTCGATTTACAAATCAATTAACTTGCTAATTGTCTGTCGGCTCACTGAGGTTGCATTTTAGAAAAGCATATTAATTTGGAGTATTTTCCGAATCATACATCATCGGAGCTGTACAGTAACCTGAGATCACTAGATGTTTCTGTGTCTGTGCATGGTGAAGGTGTGAATACTTGCTAGACTCGCATACTGAGCGAATAATAATATAGATAGATTTAATCTATTAAGCACTTTTTCAAAACAAAGTTACAAAGTGCTTTCATATGATCCAAAACGAGCTGTTTCAGCGTAACAGCAGCATGAGGTAAGACAATCCCCACCTGTCCACATATACAACATCTTCAACAAACTGCAACACTAATACAAATCGACAAAAGAAAGTAAACAAACAAATAAAACATGGAGAAATCTGAGTAGCGGCTTAATAGTATAATTACTACGATTTGTGCTGTTCTGGAAAATACAATTCAACACAGCTGGAGCGCAGAATATGTTTCCGTTTGTAACTTTCGCTAACTGATCCATAATCTTTGGATAATGTTACATTATTCCTATATATACAAAAACACGTCAACTGAGCAGTGCTTTTAGGATAGTTGTCCTGTATGGTTTACGTAGTGTGGTGTTAGACTTGTAGGCCTCACCCTACAGTGGAGTAAAAGTACGTGCAAGTCTGTCTTATTGAATTTACTGTTTTGCTGTTTGAGTGAGAACTATTCTAGCCTGTATATCATGTACACGAGGAGGGGGCT